AAAGTGCTGAGGAAGGGAAGCAATATGGTCAAAATGTATGAAAAAATTTTATAAATCCTTTTATAGAGGAGCTATTTTGTTTTATATAGTGTTTAAATTATTTTTATGTTTTATTTTAGGGGTTAGGGTTAAACCACTTCTGGCAGTTGGTTCTCTCCTTCAGGTTACAAGTATCATTCAGGTTGTCAGGCTTGGTGGCAAATGCTTTTGCTCACTGAGCCATCTCTTTGGCACTAAGTGGCAATTTTAAAAGGATATATTTGAACAAACTTTTTTTTCCCTTTGGCTTTTTCAAGTCAGGTTTCTCTGTGTAGCCCTGACTATCCTGAAACTTGCTCTGTAGATCAGGCTGGCCTCAAACTCAGAGAACTGCTGAGATCAAAGGTGTGTGAAACCACCACCACCTGGTTGAACCCTCTTATTTTTAAGCAACCCTTTCAAGTGGTCAAATTTTTTAAAAGTTCAAGTAAATAAAATAGGAATCTGGAAATATGATGATATCAAAACAGAAGAAAAATAAGTCTCAAAAAGTTGAACTGGGAAAAGAAAATCCAAAGGGATTAACAAAAAAAAATCATTAGAAAAATAATAAGACTTTAAAAGTAATTGGCTGTAAAAATATATTTAGGAAAACTAACTACATATGTACATTAACAAAAGAATTTAAAAAGCCTAATTAAAAGAAAGTCAACATTGAACACTTTTACACACACACACACACACACACACACACACACACACACACTTTAAGGTACAAATTAATTTGTACCCTGTATAGTGGTATGTACCTGTTAATATTAGATGTAACACTAGGGCTCAGGAGACAGAGACAAGGATGGTCAAGAGTTTGGGGCCATCCTCAACTCTATAGTTTGTTTAAGGCCAACCTGAGCTACATACATAATATTGTGTCTCAAAACCAAAATTAATGAAGCAGTTTGAAACAAAATCTTGTTCATCATATGAGTATGGAGAAAATTACTTATACAAGATACAAAAGCATAATAACATAAAAGAAAAGGTTGGAAAATTAGATCATGTAAGAAGTCCTTTGTCCTAAAAGATGAAACCAAAGTGAAAAGGTAGGTTTTACAGAAACCTAATTCTGATAAATCTGAAAAACCTATAACTTGTTTCTCTTATATTTTTCGTTGTGAGCCTAGCCTTTAACAGCTGAGCCATCTCTCCAGCCCAGTTTCTCAAAAAAAGTTTTTTTAATTACAAACTAGCCATGAGAAAACCTACACACTAAGTCCAGAGCAGAAATGAATAAAGTAAGCAAACACATGAATTTAACAAGTCTGATCTCATTACTTCAATGGCACACATAAATCTTTTATGCCAGATGGAGGCCAATAATGTCAACATGATTTTAAAAATTAGTACGCAAATTCTCTGACACAGTCAATATCTCAATAAAAATCAAACGATTGTTAGTGAAACATTAAACAGTCAAGATGGTAAGAAACCCGAGTCATAATAATCGCATTACCATTAACAAGCTCAGGACCACTGGATTACACTGAATCTTGACGACACCAGCATGTGGGATCTGGGATGAGCCGAGAGCCGCCTCTTCCTTAGTCCTGTAATCTCGCTACCATCCAGTACAACACAGAGACAAGTCGTATTTCCATCTCAATCTCAAACTGATCTGCTTTTCTCCATCTTCTTATTTGAAGTTAGTAATATCTATTCCTTGCACTTCTGGAACCTCTTCTAGGGACATCTTGCATTCATTTCATCCAACCTCAATTTTCACTATATTACAGCTATACTAATTTAAATATATGTTTGAATATACATTTGTATTTGTGCATATGTGTTTGATGTATGTGCATATGTGCTTGTGTGTGAGGTAAAGAACAACCTCTGGGGTTTGTTTTTGCCTTTCACTGTTTTGCAAGGTCTCTCTTGTTCACTGCTACACTGAGTACTCTGGACTATCAAGCCCAGAATCTTCTAGAAGTCTCACTTATCTCTGCTTCCCATTTTGCTCTAGGAATGCTGGAATCATGAACATGTACTATGGTGTCCAGCTTTTTATATGGGTTCTAGGTACTGAACCCAGGTTTTTTTTTTTTAAGATTTTATTTATTTATTATGTATACAGTCTTGTGCCTGCATGCCAGAAGAGGGCACCAGATCTCATTCAAGGTGTTTGTGAGCCACCATGTGGTTGCTGGGAATTGAACTCAGGACCTCTGAAAGAACAGTCAGTGCTCTTAACCGCTGAGCCATCTCTCCGGCCCCTGAACCCAGGTTTTTAGGTTCGTTTTTAACCACTGAGCCAAGCAATCTGAGTTCCAATATTCAGTGAAACAGAAATTGGCAACCAGGGCCAGGTAGTACACAGCTTACACTCTGGAAGTCATATGGTCCCTGTTGCAACTATTCAACTCTGCATTTGTAATGTAAAACAGTAAGTAAGTAAACAAACAAACAGACAACTGTCAGGCCAGGTACAGTCTGGGAATCAGTTTGCTGACCCGTACAATAAAATAGTGTGTGTACACATTTGTACATGTGAGTATGTGTGACCCTTTGTGTGGAGCAGAGGTCAGCATCTGTTGGGTGTCTTCCTCTATTCCTCTCAACCTCATTTTTTGACACAGGGTCTCTTACTGAATCCGGAGCTCACCAAGTGTCTAAACTGGCTGGAGAGCAGGTTTTAGGGATCTGCCTGTCTTCACTAAGGTTACAGATGCATGCCATACCTGCCTTTTTACACATGCTGGGAATCTGAACTCAGGTTCTCAAACTTGCATAATGGTCACCTTACCTACTGAGCCAGCCCCCACAACAAAATATCGAGAGAGAGAGAGAGAGAGAGAGAGAGAGAGAGAGAGAGAGAGAGAGAGATTAAAGCTAGGTGTGGCAGCCCAATCCTATAATCCCTGCACTTAGAAGGCTATCAAGAGGACTGCCATAAGTTTGAAGATACCCCAAGGCTACATAGTAAGTTCCTGGCCAACCTGTGCCCAGGTGAGATCCTGTCTCAAAATACAAATAAATAAGCAAATAAATAAAATTTCATAGAACTAATAAACATGAATTTTGAGGTGGAAATAAGATACAACACAAAGCATTATTAAAATTTCAGAGAACTAGGGATAAGCAGAGCATAAAAGTCCCAAGAAGGGAAAAGGTCCATTTCAAAGACGGGGAAATCAGGAGATTCAGGTTTTGAAAGAATTACACAAAGAGCTGGAAAGCATTCACTCTTGAAAGCCAATTCCAAAGGGAATTCTACACCTGGTTAAACTATAGTGAGGGTTTTAGAAATACAGTTACTTACTTTACCTCTGGGTGCTAACCAACAAAACAGTGGAGGACATAAAAATGGAGGAAGACCAAATATCCCTGAAAACTCACAGCTCCTGCATAGATGTATCTCAGAGAAGTTCCAGGACAGCAGCTATGCATCAGACAGGGTCTACACTGGAACTGAGGGGTGAAGGTCTTAGAGACAGAACTTCCAAAATAAAGAATGGGACAGATATATCTAAACACATGAAAATATCATTGGCAGAAATATGATAAAACATGTGGAACATTTTAACGGAACTCAAAATACACAAACACAAAGCCAGGTAATTAAAAATAAGGTTGTTATTAACTTCAAAAAAAAGGGCTGGACTATATTTCACTATTTGACTTGGCAGAAAATAATGTCCTTATAATCAAAATAATGAGGTACAGAGTACTAAGTAAACCAAGGACAGGAGAATAAAGTGGAAAGCTAGAGCTCTGCCCACATGGCAGGGGTGAAGAGATGGCGCCTAAACCACACAGCTACATGGGCTAGTCAGTAATAATGAGGTAACATGGGAAAGGAGCCAAAAGGCCTCACAATGGCTTCTTCCAAATAGGTCTGAAAGATAGGGAACTGTGGGGTTCTGCCTCTACTCTATTGTTCTTTAAAAAATTAATTCTCAGAGCTTTTCAAGATATATTTATTTACTTATTTATTATGGGTGCCACAGCACACATGTGGAGGTCAGAGGACAACCTGCTGGAGTCAACTCTCTCCTTCCACCATGTGGGTCCTGGGGATGCAACCTGGGCTCAGGCTTGATGAGTGCCTCTACCCAAGAAACCATCTCACAGGCCCTCAATTCTTATTAATTTTTTTTCTTTGTTTATTGAGACAGGGTTTCTCCGTAGCTTTGTAGACTAGTCTCGAACTCACAGAGACCTACCTGTCTCTGCCTCCCAAGTGCTGGAATTAAAGGCGTGCACCACCATCACCACCACCACCACTGGGCCTGGCCCTAAATTTTTAAAAGCTAGTTTAAAATAATTAGAACTTATTTTTTAAAGTAAATAACTAAATATGGGCAGTACATTTCATAGAAAGAATTCTGTATCTCTCAAATTTTAGATGTCAGTGTCTTACAAATACAGAAGCATAACTTACATGAAGAAAACACACAATTAAGAAACACTTGCCCAAGGCATATGTGAAAAACTTTAACCCTTCAGAGCAACTTTTAAAAAAAGGTTAAAACTACAAGTAGCATTATGTTAACCAACCAATTGCTTAATATAACCTTGGGAAATACTGTGAGTTTTGCAAGGATTTTGGAAAATATTTTGATTATGAAAATGTAAGTTAACTTATTATTCATTCCTGAAGGGAAAGGAGGCAACATGAAATATGACTCAGCAGTTCCTGGTAAAACAGTAACAAATACACAAAAAAGGGCCAGCTAGGAGAAGGAAGCTGAGGAAGCCCTACCTCAAAACCTACACGTCCTAAACATTCCAAAACCTGGCACTTCCCAGCCAGTGTGATGCCACAGCTGACCTCAGAGATAGAGTCAAACATAGATGCACTGAAAGTCCTGCCATTGCCTCAGGAGGGTGTGAAACAAGAACGGACTTCTTTTACGTTGGTCTCATATGTCTCAAAATGAACATTTTAGATAAAACCTTATCACCCTGAACTATTTTCTCAAGACTGTCTTTTTCTATTGATTTGCCATGCACAGCCTTACCTGAACAGTGCGCCCTGCATTGATGTGCTCTTCATGCAACTTGTCCCAAATTCTGCACCGCTGATACTATAAACAAAAAACAGAACCAGGGAGAGGGCTTAGTTTCACATCATGAGACCGTGTCTAGTCACCACAAACCCTTTGTTCATCTACTCACACATCTCAGAGAGGGAAAACAGTGTGTTTGTGTAATGGTAGTTAACTTTCTGAAGGCTTTCAATATCACATTTTAAAAATTTAAAAACATAAAAATGCATAAGTCATAGTAAACAATAACACAAAATATCATCAAATCAAATTACTTTTTTTTAAACCAAAATGAAGTTTTTGTCTTTCTGCAAACTCTCTGGGGAAGAGAAATACAGAGAATGAGGACATAAAAGAATCTGAGAGATAGACAGCATCCCTTACACATCCTCACTACATATGCAGAACAAATGTTTGTTAGTAGTGATGATAAATGTTAAAAACTAAGACCAGAACTGTAACAATAGGGCTGGGCAGTGGTGGCACACGCCTTTAATCCCAGCACTCCGGAGGCAGAGGCAGGTGGAAATCTGTGAGTTCGAGACCAGCCTGGTCTACAAGAGCTAGTTCCAGGATATGCTCCAAAGCTACATAGAGAAATCCTGTCTTGAAAAACCAAAAAAAAAAAAAAAAAAAAAAAAACAATAAGTTCTGCCTGAGCCCCGCTGCCACGTGGGCACCCAGAATAGCACACAGAGTTTTATATTAGTTTACAGTGCTGCTGGCCAATTGACTAGGATTTCTTATATGCTAGCTCAGTCTTAATTATCATAAATCTATATATTTTATGAGTCTTATCGAGAGACTTATAGAGGACGCCTTCCCATGGCGTCCTCTTCCTAGGATCACATGGCAGGCAGCTCCATAGAGAAGAAAACAGGAGGAAAAGGAAAAGCAACAATTTCCTTCTTGTCCCTGCTTATATTCGGAGTCTGCCTGCTATGTCACTTCCTGCCTGGATCGTTTTACTATATTTCCCAGAATCCTCCTTGACTCCTAGTCCCACCTATCTTGCTATTAGCCAACAGTTCTTTATTTATCAACCAATAAGACAAACATATACACAGAAGGACCTCCCCCATCACAGAACTTTTTAAAAAGCAATAAATCCCAAAAGCAGGCAGAAGGGAGAAGATGCTTGAAGTACAGAGGAACAAAGGCAAGAGTGACAGAAGTCTCTGATAGACAACACAAGTCAGAAGTCAACAGAACGACATGCAGGCCACAGAGAAGAGACACAACTCTCCACAAAAAATGAGGAATACAGACCAATGGTAAATATCAATTTTTTAATTATTTCTAAACTCTCAGGCTGGCAAGATGGTTCAGCAGGTAGGTGCCAAACATAACTACCTGAGTTCCATCTCCAGGACTAACTCCTGTAAGTTGTCCTCTGGCCTCCACATGCCAACATGGCACATGTGCCTGCACACACACACACACACACACACACACACACACACACACACACACTAAGTGTGTATATTCTGACCCATGAGGCAGCTGCTGAAAAGTAATCACACAGATCACAACATACTTAATAGAGAAGGACCCTTTCTTAAGACTGGAAAGAAGGTGAAGATCTGATCTGATGAGTCCTGGTCAGTAACACACTAGAAGCTCTAGTCAGCACTATAGGGTAAAAATGAAGATGAAGGAAGGAATGAAGAGAGGGAGGAAGAAAGGCAGGGAGAGAGGTGAGGAGAGAGGGACAGAGAGATGGACAGGTGGAGAAAGATTAGAAAGAGAGAAAACTATCTTCACAGGTGCCATTACTGAGTACACAGAAATACTAAACAATCTTTAGAAAAGCTACACAGCATTAGCAGATGGATCAGTGGCTAAGGGTCATAAAGTGAGGATTACTTACTTAATAAAGATAATATCTGCTTCAAAGTATAGATAAGAGTAACTGCCTCACCTTGAATACCAAATATTAAAAATAAAAAAAACAGAAACAAACATGAAGTACAACAGGAATGTTCTAAATCTAATATACTAGAAATAATATATTGACAGGAAGTGCTATGCCGAAGGCCTGGGTAGGGTAATTCACTAATTACATACTCCACTTTTGAGTAGCCACTTTGTGCACAGGATTTATATATGTGTGTGTGTGTGTGTGTGAGTGTGTGTGTGTGTGTGTGTGTGTGTGTGTGTGTGTGTGTGTTTAACTTTGTGTGAGTGTACATGTCAGGAGGTGTGAATATATGTGCATGAGTGTGTAGAGGACGGATATTAACATTAGTTATTGTGGTGGTTACTATGTCTACCTCAGTTATTCTCTACTTTATTTACTAAGTCAGGGTCTCTAGCTGAACCCAGAGCTTGCTGACTTAACTAATCTAACTTTCCAGCTTTCCTTGGTGTACTGGCTAGTTTTTATGTCAGCATGACACAAGCGGGAGTCATCTGAGAGGAGGGGAACTCAGTTGAGAAAAATGCCTCCATATGATCATAAGATCAGACTGCAGGCAAGCCTACTGAGAATTTTCAAATGAGTGATTGGTGTGGGTGGGCCTTCCCATTGTGGGGGTGCTACCTCTGGGCTGATGGTTCTAGGTATTATAAGAAAACAGGTAGACTCAGCCTGTAAGCTGAGGCCATTCTCCCATGGCCTCTGATTCAGTTCCTGCCCTGTCTTCCTCAGCGATGGACTGTGACCCAGAAGTGCTTTTGGTCATGGTCTTTATCACAGTAATAGAAACCCTGACTAAAACTCCTGGAAATCCCATCTCTGTCTCCTCAAGTTTTGAGATTACAAGCAGACCACCATACCTGGGGACCCAAACTCTGGTCCCCATACTTGTTTGGCAAGCACTTTATTTATTGAGCTATCTCTCTAGTCCCATCATATAATACTTTACTCCTTATAATGATCTTACGCAATTATAATTTCACCATCATAACTGTCCGGAAACAACAACATTTGTAGTTTTGTTCCAAATAGTAAAACATGGATGTTAAGTCTCTAAACATTAAGGCCTACTACATAGTGCTGTGTTAAGATGGGTATCTATATCTGAGGTGATGGCATCAATCAGAGCACCCCCCACAGGAAGTGCCTAAACTGAAATTCGAACAAAAAACAAATCTTGAATGATGGAAGATGGTAAGGTTCATGTCATTAACAGATGTAAGACAGAAAGTAAAACTATTCAGTGTCTTCGTCTACCTTCTTTACTGAGGAATTCACCTTCAAAGTAGAAAAGAGCTGATAAGATCATCAGGAGGAAATTAAACTAGCTATGATGGAGCATGCCTGCAATCTCAGTTAACCAGATAGCCGAGGCAGAAAGATTACCTGTGCCAAAAGTTCAGGACTGGTTTGGGCAACATAGGGAGACACTCTCAAAAACAAAGATGACAGGTTTAGGGATATAGCTCAGAGGTGCAGTGCTTGCCTAGAATTAAGAAGTTCTAGGTCCTATTATCAGCAAACCCAACCCCTTACCCCTAAAAATAGAAAAGAAAGAAAACCAAGAAAGAGTAAACCTACTCACTTCAAATGAGTTCAAATCGACAGGCACAAGAAAATGATATCTGGGTGAACCAAGAAACCTTGCAAACACTTCTGTTTATTTATGAAGAACTGGAAAAATTCCTAATATTTGCAAATATTGACCTAATTTCACAAAGATATATATATTTAAAAGACTTGGGCTATAAATATTAATGTAAATCTTGGGGAAAGTCTTTACTAGATTAGTAGAGAGATGGCATGTGAGATTTAAGGAGCTGGAAGGCCTGTTCCTTTTCTGCCCAGCATTCTCACTGATGGCTTCAAAAGAAAGAACACATAACTATCAACTTCACAAGTGACATAAGGAGAGAAGGGTTAACATAGACGAAAGATCACAGCCACACTGGTGGGAATTACAGTAATGTACATAGGAGGCTCTGCACTGGAGCAGAAAAGAGAAAGTGTAACAGCACTATATGGCTTCACAGCTACCAGTTCACAGGAACTAAAGAATGAGCAATAAGAAGTGGTATTCTGAGATGACAAGTGCAATGTTAGGCTCTACATCCATTCATTCTATGCATCTGTTAGAAGCACACTCTCAGGTACATATAAGTTGGATACATGTACTAACATAGAAACCTCCAAATATGCAGCTCAACTGCTCTAAATGTCTCTCCCTCTACAGCACAGTGCAAAGTAAAGTGTAACGTGCAGGCCTGTAACCCCAGCACTAGGGAGCTAGGAAAGGAAGGTCATGTGTCAAGGCCAGCTGGGGCTAAAAGTGAGACCTTCTCTCAAAGAGCAAACAAGGGCTGGAGAGATGGCTGAGAAGGTAAAGGTGCTTGCCCCTAAGCCCAAGACCTGAGTTTAATCCACACCATAGAAGGAAGAGAACTGATTCCAAAGGTTGTTCTCTGATCTCCACATCCACATAATAAATAAATGTGAAAAAACTAAAACAACAATAATACTTGACCTGTAAAGCTACTGTAAGACTATGACGTATAACTCTCAACAAAGGAAAACAGCTGCTGTCGTTATTTGCCCACTTATCAAAGAGGCTATAGAAGAGATTACTGTCTCAATGGCATTATCCCTTTTTATAGTGATTTTAAAAAATTAAAGAATAAAATAATTCCATTTGCTACTGCTTACTGTTCAATCTTATGTGAAATTAGGATATACTGTAAAAAGCTATTATCCCAAATATTTGGTGAGGGGGAGAAAATGCAGGGTGATGTAATAATATGTGTGAAAAACCTGTAAACTAGAAGCAACCTGTAAACTTGTAGTTAAGTTTGAACAACGGGCAAGCATCTCTAAGCACAGGCTTTTGCGGGAGATGGTCTTTGTCTATCTGCTCAGCAGGACAGACAAGTCATTAAAGTGGAACCACAGCATTATGCTTTGGGTTGCTAAATACAGAAACACAAACTTGAAAGTGGCCCCAACAACAAATGTACTCCCTACGTCACACAGAAAGCAGCCAGAAATGTGGCAGTCATCCCAGGGTAGTTCAATACAGCATTTACAAGGTCAAGTGCTAGGTTCAATAAAGCCTTCATACTTGTCTCCTAATGCAGAATGGTTGGCTATAGTTCCAGATACAGCAGGAAGACATAACCAGACCTCTAGAAGAAAGGGGACTGTTTCCTTACATGTGTATCTTTTTTAAAGTAGGAAAATATTTCTGGAGGTTTCCAAATTCCTATCAGGCTTTTGGTCAAGGCTTACTGGCCACAACTGCAAGATGTGCCTATAGCTCCTTCATAACCAAAGAGCTACATTCATTAGACACAGTGTCATTCACCTTCACCTGAGTTTGGTAAAGGAGATAGTCACAGGATGGGGAGGAGGTTATTGTAATTACAAATTAAACAAATAAGTATGAACAAATACATAATTATGAAGTCAGCCTGCTTCTTTCATTTGGTACTGCTGGGTTCAAGCTGCAAGCTACCTGTCTAGTCCATGTCACCTATTTCACACATAGTCATATATATGCTGCCTCTGATCATTCTTGGAATGTTTTCTATCTTGTTTCCTTAACTGAACTGCAAACCTCTTAGGAATTAAAAATCTATTTTTATATATCATTCAAGGCTAACAATCTAAGAAACAGCAAATACTAAACACCAATAAATACTTAAGGAAAGCTAATATTTATTTCCTATAATAAATAATCTTGTTTCTCATTAATCCTGGCAGATTAAATACAAATATTCATTTCTGCTCTTTTCCAAAATCACACGAAAAGACAATAAAGAATGTTAAGAGGTGAAAATTCACAAGAGCAATGAGAACACAAGAGAAGACACCAATAGACAAGAACTTTTAAGCAAACTTCAGAAGCTGGGAAGAATATAAACACATTTCAGTGGATACAGCAGACCAGAGACAGCAACAGTCTAAAGCTTGAAGAGATGGCTGGAGGGGAAAGAGGAATGGAGGCCACAGGCAGGCTGTACTTCAGGAAGGCTGGACATCCAGAAATACTAGGTGTAGGTAACCAGTTAAGAAGTGTGGTGGAGGGCTGGAGAGATGGCTCAGAGGTTAAGAGCACTGACTGCTCTTCCAGAGGTCCTGAGTTCAATTCCCAGCAACCACATGGTGGCTCACAACCATCCCTTATGAGATCTGGTGCCCTCTTCTGGTGTGCAGATGTACATGGAAGCAGAATGTTGTATACATAATAAATAAATAAAATCTTTTAAAAAAAAAAGAAGTGTGGTAGAGAGGAAAAGCAGAATTGGTGGGAGGCTGATATAAGCCACACATAGTTACCATATCACTTCCCCACATGCTCAGGCAACGGCCCTGCCCCATGACCACAGAAGGCAGTCCTCTCTGCAGTGGCCAACCAGAGAAGATGGGGCCTGGACTCTAAGCCTAACAAGGCAAAGATGGGATGATATACCCAAGCAGCCTAGACCAGGAAGCTCTAAATGGTGGTAAGCCTGTCATCTTCCTTGTTCCCGTTCCTTCTCTCAGGTCAGATGGATGGTCACATAATGCATAATATACCCACCCCTCTTAGGTCCACCCAAATCCCACTTCATCCCTGTTACAGCATCACCTCTCATAAAATAACTCCAACAGGTAGACTAGGGTTTAAAAAAAGAAACATGGATCCAAGTCTGTAAATGTTAAGGTCTACTTAACAGGATTGTGTCAAGATAATGTGTCTACATATAAGGTGATGACATCAATCAGAGTGCACTCCACAGGAAGTTCCAGAGCTGGGATTTAAACAAACAACAAAGCTTGAATGGAGGCAAATGACGGGGTGCATGTCATTAACAGATGTAAGACAGAAAGTAAAATTACTCAGGCCTCTACCTTCTTCACTGAGGAATTCACCTTCAAAATAGAAACGTGCTAATAAGATCATTAGGAGGAAAATGAAGCTTCGTATGATGGAGCATGCCTGCAGGTAATGGACGGCTTCCATTACCATGAGAGATGAGATGGAGGCAAACCTAAGGCAAACAAATTCCACCTTATCTGATAAGCCATATGGGGGTTTTCTGCCACCTGGATCTTAGCCTAAACTAATTCATATAAATCCTGGGTGTATATCCCTCACAGTAACTTTCTTCTTAGATCCCAACAATAAGAAATAAAGAAAATTGTGTTCCAAGTTGGCTATCTTATAGCTCCTATTTACTGTGCTATACCTATGACACATTAGCTAAGAAAGCTGAACGCTAAGGCTCCGAACTTCAGGATCACATGTTAATAACACGTATCGTGTATAACAGTGCACTGCTGAAGGGCCTATGGAACATGGCCCAGGTGTCCACAGCACACTGCTCTCATTGTTTTCACTGTTGCAGAATCACTCTGCTAAAGGTTTGCCTTCAGTTTCTCTCCAGTCTGGCTTTTTTCTTTTAAATTCATATTGGATGAATGATGGCTAAAATAATAACTATTTTATCTTTCTACACCTTTTCCTAAGAATAATATGCCTTTTTGAAAGAGAGGCACTGTAAGGCACCTGGAGCCTAAATTTAGTTAACTGTCCTGTACAGAGTGAGCACTCCAATTTTTGAATATGTTTACATGCCATAGCCTATCCATCAAAATATGCTATTCAAGAGAAACAGGTATCTTCACAATTAAACTAGAAAACCTACAGACAGTGAAATGTTCAAGTATATTTTTTTAAAAGTATAAATCAATATGAATTTACCTTCTTAGCTTTAGATATTATCATTTGTCTGTCCATTATAATTATCTGATAATGTCTGAAGGTTTCATAATAAGTAAAAATGCTAAAAGAAACATGTTCAGGAAGAGCAGAATCAATGGCACTAACTCCAAGATAATTCTCCTATGACACCTGGCACAACTAATCCAATCAGTAGCAGGCCCTTTCCTTTCCCACCACCTTGCTTCAGGGTTCTCACTTTCTACTGACAGGACTGCACACATATGTAGCTAGCATTGAAGGGCAATGCAGCGGCCATTTTCATACAAAAGTAGAAAGATGTGTTAAATCTCAAAGGTAAAGTAGGACAATAAAGGGGAAAATAGCTTTAATAGCGCACAGATCTCTTGTTTCTACCTTTCAGAATCAATTCCTCTACCTAATTCTTATCATCTTTGTAATGGAGAAATTGGTATAGCTCAGGACTTTGAAACACACCTCATCAAATCTTTTTACACATTTTTAACGCTGTAACAATCTAGAAACAGAATTGTTTATTTGGATTGTTCAACTCTAGGTAGAAGATTTGATAAGGTATGTTTCTCTGTCCCACTAAGCAAAGCATGGAATCATTCCACATGCTTCTATTACAAGGAGAACCAATTTACCAGACAATTCCTTACAAGCTAGAGCTATCACTTAAGGCTTGTATGTAAAGAACAAGAAATTAAGGGAGGAGAAAAAATATTAACCCTGAATTCTAAAACAAAACCACAGAGAAATTTCCATTGCAGACATCTTAGAAATTAGTTTCTGTGTGTGTGTGTGTGTGTGTTTTTTTTAAAGTGATTAAATACTAGAAAAATCAATAGGAGAAAAAAATGGTATTTTGGATGAATAGAGCTTATATCAAAAGGCTTAATGACCACATGGTTCACCCTAATCCTAAAATTAAAAAAAGCAAAGTAGAGGAGCACACAGCTCAATGCTTAAAACAGATGACAACCCACCTCTCTAAGTCAGGGTTCAGTTGTCAGTAAACCTAAGGCTGCAGCAACTGTCACAAGCCCCACATCACAGCCTGTCCAGGGAAGGGTCTATACTGCTCTCTGAGCAGCTCATCTACCCTCATGTCCCCAACCCACCTTGGCAGTACTTCTTAATTTGGGGCCTTTGTCAAAGCGAAGCAGTGGAGAAAGGAAATCCCCTCACATCATACAATTATTTACATCTTAACATGAAGAAGACAGAAGTTACTGATAGGCACAAGTTCAAAACACTTGCCATGGGGTGAATGAGATTAAGACAGCTCCATTAGCCACAGCTCCCATCTTCACATCATGGGACAGTATCAAACAATTTGAGCTTAATTACTAACTACCTAAAACCGCCACATGTAAATTAAAAAGGTATAAACTCTACTCCTATCTCCCTTCCTCAACATAATAAAAGGAATATATGAGAGACACATTTGTAGAGCATGTAGACCAGCTTAAAAAGTGAATGCTGCTATATCACAGGGTTGGAGGTGTCTTACAAAGTCTCAGATTCTCTATTCAGCTGAAATCCAAAGAAAGCAAGGGAGAATCCATGCAGTTACCTGCTTCTGCAGTGGAAATGAATGCTCACCTTCTCAATGTTTATCTGGTGTTTTCTTAACCTCTCCAGGTCTGTTGGTATCACTATCTTAGTGAATTTCTGGATAGCTGGTTCAAGTCGACGTAACCTCACCTTTTCTTCATCTTCAGACATCCTAAAGCCTGCTGAGACACTTCCACTTGTAGTGGCTCTCTTCTCTCATGCAGAAACACCTAACAAGGAACATTTAAGAATGCTTTTATAACAGGTTCCATTCTTTTTAGAAATAAACAAAGACAGGGTTGGAGAGACAGCTCATCGGTTAAGAGTACTGGCTGCTCTTCTGGAGGACCTGGGTTGGTTCCCAGCATCCACATCATAGCTAACAACCACCTGTGACTCCAGTTCCAGTTCTAATATCATTTTCTGCCCCCCCCCCCCCCCCCCCCCCCCCCCCCCCCCCCCCCCCGTGGCACTGAACATATGGTGCACAGACATACATGCAGGCAAACACTCAGACATAATTTTTTAATCAACAAATACGTAATTACCCTTTTCTCTAAATACATATTTATCTCAAAATTGAACTTGAATGGCTTGGTTTTTCTACAAAAGGATGTATATTCAAATATTCTCGTAGTTAAAGTAGTATCTAGTCATTCTCAAGTACTTTTTAAACTGTTTCATTTTCATAGCACAGACAGGACAGGAACTGTGTAACTATAGGCTGACCAGGAAACCCTGATCCTCCTAAGCTCCATACCTTTACCTCCTAAGCTACTCGAGAATGTTCAGAAAATATAAATAAGTGGGGGCCATGAGATGGCTCAGTAGGTAGAAGAGATTACCACCAAGACTGAAGACCTGAGTTCAATACCTGGAACCCACATAGTAGAGAGAAAGAACTGACTTGTCTAACTATGGTGTATGTTTCCCACGTGGGCACATGCATGTACACACACACACACTCTCTCTAAATAAATAAATAAATATGCAATCAACAAGTTTAGAAAATACAAGAATAAACAGAATAAAATAAAACTATCAATTATCTCCTCAACCATAAGTACCTACTCTTTTGATAGCTGTCTCCTGAAGTCTTTTGCAATATAAACACCACTAAAAATGAGGCCTTCCTGATAAACTTTGGACACTGAATAGACATCTTTTAAAAGAATTGCCAAATAGCAAAACTGCAAGGAAAATTTTCACTCAATATTTCTGTTTACATCAAACTCCACCTCCAAAGTCACATAATGTAATTGTGTAATTATATACTTCAAGTACATTGCAGAATACAGAACTTTCACTGAAGGCCCTCATCTCCACTTTAAACAAGATGATTGCAATGTCTACTAAATGGCCAGCAATAGAACTCCAATAAGAATCTTATTTACAAGGCCAGGTGATGGCTCAGTAGGTAAAGGCACTTGCTACCAAGACACAACCTGAGTGTGATCCCTAGGTCCTACATGGGAAAAAACTGACTCCCTCTGATCTCCACAAGCACACTGTAGCACATGAATGACACACACACTTAAATAAATATACTTAAATATTTTTTAAAGAACCAGATTCCCTACAGATATATGGAGATTTTTTCTGTGTAACCAGGACTCTACAGCCATATAAAAAAGTCCCAGCATATGCTTTTGGAGACAGGACAAGAAAGGTAGGAGCTGGAATTGAGCATTCTCTAGAACCCCACACTGGCTTCAAGCAGACAAATTTTACTTACATCAATTTTTATAAATTTGAGCTTGTAACAGATTTTACATAAATGATGTGCTCCCTGCTTAGCCAAGCTTGAACACCACTAAAGTACATCATGCCTTGATGCCACCTCTTTAACCCACAGCCCAACAACAAATTGAATATGTAATCCTGTTGGGCCATGGCTTCTTAGTCCAGGCCTCAGAGATACACATTCATGTATTGATTCTGTGAGGCCCTGAATCTTTAAGATTCATTGTTTTCAGATTCTCAAAGAGATCTAATGCTCCAAACATTAAGAAATGCTTTAAACAATGTTCTGTTTTCCTCCTTTCTTCCACAGTTGAAAATCTTGAAGCAACGGCTATAAAAACAACTTCCATTACCCTTGGCTAAGAACTTGGTTCTTATGCTAATACAAGCTTCCAAGGAAAATGTTCAGATACAAAGAAGAGTGTTAAAACTGAACCCCACAGCAGACAAGAACTAGAGACATGCGGAGAAGTACAGTGTGAAAAGAAATAGACTTAAGAAACAAGCAAACAAAACAAAAAATAACAAATGCCCTAGAAATGAGAAAGTGATTAAAAAAGAGAGGTAATGTCAAGTCTATTCTTAAATATACAAAAACATAAATGAATAAATAGACTTTTCAATAGGACATAAGGAGTGGGTTCCGTTTTAAAAAGTAATATGTTACAAAAGAGTTAACAGGCCAATTGGAACATAAGGTAAGAAAAAAAAAATTCTAAACTGAAAGCCTCAAAAGATGAGGTAAACAAGAAACCATACATAGCTGGAGAGAGGACTACTGAATGGAAGCTATCAGAACTCGAAGGATAAAAAGACAAAGAATAGCCAGGCATTGGTGGTGCACGCCTTTAATCCCAGCACTCGGGAGGCAGAGGCAGAGGCAGGCAGATCTCTGTGAGTTCGAGGCCAGCCGGTCTCCAGAGTGATTGCCAGGATAGGCTCCAAAACTACACAGAGAAAAACCCTGTCTCAAAAAAAAGATGAAGAATATAAATGAGGAAATAAAGGACATAGATTCACAAGCTCAGTAAAGAATACAGAAAACAACCAATAGAAATTAATCAAATAAAATATTCTGAGAATTAAGACAGATGATCTCAAGTTGAAAAACTACATAGCCCAGCTAGTATAAATAAAAACAAACTTACCTAAGCACATGATAGGAACTGCAGAGCATCAAGGACAAAGAAAAACATCTTAAAAGCAAACCAGAGATAACAGATAAATGAAAACAACAAAAGCAGCCAACTTTTCATCAAAGCAATATATCAAAAGACAGGGATGTCTTCAAAGTACTAAGAAGCTGGTACATACCCAGGCAAATTATCATTTATGGTGAAGTCAAAATAATTATTTTCAGATATGCAAGACTGATTTAACAAACTCATTAAAAGAATTACTAAAAGGGAAGGGAAGGAGGGAGAGGGCGGGAGGGAGGATGGGAGAATAGAAGACAGGGATAGAGATGAGAGAGACAGAGAAAAAGCAAGTGTGTGTACCTGCACATGTGCTTGTGAGATCATGCTCACATGTGTGTTCACAAACCCTTCTTTTTGGTATCCCCCAGGATCCCTAGAGTTTGTTAAGGTATCTGGTAGGTAACATGGTTTTTAAACATTTATAGAATTAACCCTTCTCCCCCTCAAAACACTGCAAAGGGTTATAAAAAAACATATTTAACAATAAAGAAAATAAAATGATGGAATAAACATAATAACCTATTACTGGATTGAATGGATGAATTAATGTTGGATTTATTTTGAATAATATGATCAAATATATGAAAATTGTTACCATGTAAATATTTGTATTATGTGCTTACTTTTAGTAGCATAGAATTACATTATGAATGTTCCATAATCTAATCATCAATTGTATGCTATTTAAGTTGATCCTAACTTTCCACTATTATAAACAAATTGTGATTACTTTCCTCATACAGTAAGCCCTATTACCACCCATGATTACTTAATATAGACAGCTAAAAATAGAAATATTAAGCAGACAAACTTTAAGTTTTAAAAACATACACATTCCCAAATGTGCCTTCCTTCCATTTTACATTCCAACAGAAGCACTTCTCCATATTCTTACCAATGGTTTGATTAAATTAGTGGGGGCAATGGTGTCTCAAGAGACCTTTCTAGTTCAGTCTCCTACTAACTAGAATTTAAAATTTTCCTCTATCATTTTTCTATTTTTAAAAAATTATTATAGTTATATACTATATCTGAGAGCTTAACATTCAAATGATTTCAGGCACAATGTTACCAATAACATTGTTAGAATATTGTCTAGCATGGCATCCCAAACGTCATGCAATAGTTCACATCTGTCATCTGTTATGGGAAGATCCCAGTTGCAGAATGTGGTGTAGAAGTGTGTTTGAATACTGACTGAAAGTATATTCCAGCACTTTTTACTTTTTTACTCATAAAGTTGGAACATGTTACATGATTAAAACACTAAACTAAAAAAGGATAAAAGATCTCACACCTGTAAAAATATCCAAAAATATCCAAATGCCTAAGTTCCCAAACTTCTGTGAAGTTATTCTATTATTTTAATGGTTTGAAAAAGCATGAAAATATTTGTGATAGAATTTATTCTGGCATGGTGTGGTGATATACAGCTATTTGCACTTGTTAAAACCCATGCAACTATATGCATCAAAGAGTAAATGCTACTGTATAAAATTTTTTAAAAACCAAGATGTAAGAGAAATATAAAACGAGAAATAAGCTATCAAAAACAAGACTGCATTACCATGAACTAAATGGGGAAGAAAACAATCAAAGCCCAAAACATGACACTTTTGCTGAACATTGTAAGGCTAAAGATTAAAACAGCTGTACTGTATTTTTCTCTCTATTGTAGAATGTTTGTGTGTTGCATTTGTTTCATTATATAAAGATGTGTTTCTGCCAGTGGAGAGGCTACCTTAAATGCTCTCCCCGATAATGAGATTGATGACTAACTTATATGCCATCCTAGAGCCTTCATCCAGCAGCTGATGGAAGTAGAAGCACATAACCACTGCTAAACCCTGAACTGAACTGGAATTCAGTTGCCGAGAAGGAGAAGTGATGAGCAAAGGGGTCAAGAACAGGCTGGTGAAACCCACAGAAACAGCTGGCCTGAACAAGGGAGAGCTCTTGGTCACCAGACTGATAGCTGGGAAACCAACACAGGACTGATCCAGACCCCATGAACCTGAGACCTCGGAAATCTATGGGGCCTCTTGTAGTAGATCGGTACTTATCCCTAGCATAGGAATGGACTTTGGGAGCCCATTTCACATAGAGGGATAACTCCCTCAGCCTAGATATATGGGGGAGTGCCTAGGCCCTATCCCAAAGGATATGACAGACTCTGAAGACCCCCCCCCCATGGAAGGACTCGCCCTCCCTGGGGAGCAGAAAGGGTATAGGATAGGTGGGGTGTTAGTGGGAGGCAGGGGAGGAGGGGAAGGAGAGGGAACTGGGATTGACATGTAAAACAATCTTGTTTCTAATCTGAATAAAAAAATGGAGAAAAAAAAGGATGTGTTGCTGCTTTGCCTTGCCTGCCTAAGGCACTTAAGTGATTTAATAAGAAGCTGGATGGCCAAAAGCAAGGGAGAAGGTATAAGAGGGACTTCTGGGCAGGGAGAGTGAGTAGGGGGAGGAATTTAGGCTTGGGGGGCCAGGACCACCAGAGGACAGCCAGCCAGCCAGCCAGGGAGAATACAAAAAAGTAGGACATACAGAATGAAAAAAAGGTAAAAATCCCCAAGGTAAAACACAGATGATTATAAACAAATTAAGTTAAAAGAGCTAGTGGGGCAAGCCTAAGCTAAGGCTGAGCATCCATAATTAACAGTAAGTCTCTGTGTCTTTATCTGAGAGCCGGTTGGCAGCCCAAAGAAAATCCAGCTACTATCTCTCAGTAGTATATTTTAGATATCCTGGAATTAGTATCTGCCCTTACCAGGACTGAACAAAAAGGAAGTATTTCCCAGAAAATGAGTCAGTTCTCACTGTTAGAGAACAAGCAGGAGCCAATACCAGAATGGACCTAGTGGTGTGAACAGACAGAGATACTGCTATGCACTTTTTATTTTTTAAGTATATATAGATACACAAATATTGATCTTGCATACATGGGTGTATATACAGCATATACTGCTGTCTTTTGTGAGGCTCTGAAAGCAATGACACCCTAGTAGCAGTGAGCACACCTAGACCATAGGTGTTGGTATCTAATACCATTTTGAAAGAAGGGCAGCAAGCAACAAGTGAGTAAAGGAAGCCAGGAGTCCTTGGAGAAGTGGTTGACTGCAGGATTGGGGCAGGAAAAACACAGGGGTACAGAAAACAAGGACAACACAAAACTTCCCAATGCACAAAGTGTGAACAATCTGACATATTAAGTGCATAATAACAGAAACATAATCATATGCAGTTATGTGATGGTTTGGGCTTAGGGTTTTTCTGGCTGCTCTGGAACTCAGCTCAGTAGACCAGGCTGGCTTTGAACTCAAAAGATCTGCCTGCCTCTGCCTGCCAAGTACTGGGATTAAAGGTGTGCCTTCCAGAAATCATAGGAGTTTATATTGACACAAGGAATTGAATACAGATAAAGAAATGGGGACAATGGACAGACCCTCCTTAGAGAATTCCAAAAAAGGAAGGAGGGAAATTGAAGAGTGCCACAGTACTAAAGTACTTGGAGAATTATTGGAATAGTAGTTACTTTGGAGAATCCCCCAGACACCAAGTTTAACTAAGTGATCAAGGTTGACACCACAAGCAGCAGGTTCCATGGTGGTATAAACTGAAAAGGGTATTTATACCTTGCGGTATTCTGAACAAAATTGCAGAACAATCTAATCACAATAAACTATAGCCAAATTCCTACTTGAAAGGCACTACCAACACTCCTGGTTTTTCAAAAGCATAAGTCATTAGACACCAGAGATTGGAAAACATGAGGGTGCCATGTAAATAAAGAGTAAATAAAATGTAAATATAGTTGGGTCTTAGATCCCATTGTAGAACACAGAAGGTACTCTAATAAAAAGAATGGAATCACAAGAGAACCAGTTAAATCTAATATTAATTTCTTGCTCCCAGTGACTATATGTAAAATACTAACACAAGGGAAGTTGTAGTTTTCTGTATTACTCGTGCAACCACCCCCCACCCTGTTTTGTTTTTCAGAGACAAGAGATTCTCTGCGTAGCCCTGGCTGGCCTTGAGATAGCCTTGTCTCTGCCTCCTGAGTGCAGGGAATAAAGGCGTGCACCACCACCGCCCAGCTATTTGTGCAAGTTATCAATAATTGTAAATTTCTCCAGAGTTTTTGTTTTGTGTTTGTATTTGGGCATGTATAAGAATTGCTGTTTCATGAACATTTTAGAAGCCGGGGCTGCAATCATTTTCCAGACACATTTACAGTGAGAGGTGTCAAGTGCTTTACAAACTTCATCTCCTGGTACTTGCAACTAAGATGACATGGGTGCATGATACTCAGGGTCCCGAAGAAGAAAAAGTACTCAAATATGAAGTAAATTACTCGGGAGTTAATTTATAAGCGAAGGAGCCCCTTTTCTAGAAAATGTTCCAAATAGCCAAAACCACCATCCCTCAAAGTAACGTGTCCCCTTGGGCTTGTGGGCGGCGCACGGGGTGTTGACTTTAGAGTGCAGGCCCGCACCCCGCAGCTGCGGCCTCTCTGTGTACTGCCTGGGCACTGGCGTCGCCTCGGCCCCCTTGGCGTCACCAGAGCGCACCCGGGCCACACCGACGACCTAGGACCCGGAGAGTCTCTCCATAGCGAACCCGGAGGCCTTGGCACCGTGGGGTCCCGACCTCCCCTCGCCCGCTGGGACAGCTGCTCCAAAACTGAAACCTGGAGGCTCGGCCACTCTGGACGCCGCCCGGCGCTCTCACTGACCAGAAGCCGGGCTTGCTGCCTGGCGCCTATCTCCGGCGTCCATACCCCGGCCCGCGGTGGCACAGCGCAGCCCCGTGTCCCCGAGGAGGCCGCCCGTCAGCCCCTTACCTCCCGCCTAGGCGCTCGAAGCTGTCAATATTCACTGCGCAGGCGCAAGAGGGGCGGGGCGCCTCTAGGGGGCGGGGTCAGGAGGTCCCGCCCCCTAACGTCCCAGCGGGAGGGGAGGTAGGTTGTACTGTGCCAGCCCCTGGAGGAATGGTTCCACGTGTCCTTTTTAGGTTGTCTTGTGTACTGTGTCCAAGACTGTTTACATTTGGATAACCCTCTGGATGTTACATTTTCTTGTGCTCGTTGAGTTTTGTTGGCGAGGCGAGGACGACCACCTGTCCTTCCTTAGGGTTGTGGAAACTGAAGCTCAGAGATATGTGCCATTCCCCTTCGCCCTGCCCACTTCTCCCCTGAGTGACAGGCAGTGGCGGAGGGGGGGATGGCGGGGGAGACGTCTTAATGTCCAGGGCACAGATGGGAAGCAGGGACGAATTGTGGTTTTGTCCAGAGGCTGCTGCAGTGCTTTGGGCGTCTGTCCTTATTAAAATGATGGTGACTTTGAAGCTCAGCACAGATTTGAAGTGACTCAATCCAGTTCAACCTGTTTGTGACAGAGCTGGACTCCCAGCTGATTTTCCTAATTTCCTTCTCAAGTTATTCCAGTTGGATCAGCTGCTGCAAGAACACGCTTTGAAGTGTGTGCGGGTCACTGGTCCTCCTCTCTGAATAGTCATACCTCCAGACCCAGCCCAACTAATGTGTGTGTGTATGTGTATGCACGCATGTGCGTGTGTATCCATGTATATGTATGTATATAGATCGTTGCTCAGACTGGATGTCGTTTTCATCCTCATGATGTCGTTTTCCACAATCTTAGAGATGTTCATATCACTAAGGAAACTCAGTTCTTAAGGTCTGCAGGTGGAATGGAAGTGGAGAGAGAATTTTGGCCCTCAGAGTAGGGGTTTAAGGGAATATTGAAAGTAATTTCTAAAATAAAGCACACTACGTACTAAGCGATTTGGATTTTCTTCAGGGTATACCAGATGCTATGATACCCTTAGTTCAAAGAACGAGGTATCTATCAAATTTTCATACCAAGGAGAAAAATAAAGACATTAGGCATTACCGTAGGAAATACTTTTTTAAAATTAAATTTTATTTAAATTAAAAACAATCTTATTTTACATACCAATCCCAGTTCCCTTCCATCCTCCTATTCGCTCCACCAATCTCCCATCTCCCATCCACTCCTCAGGGAGGGTAAGGCCTCCCAGGGGGGGATCATCAAAGTCTGTCATTTAGGGCAGGACCTAGTCGACCCACCCCCAGTATCTAAGCTGAGAGAGTATCCCCCCATAGGGAATGGACTCCAAAAGCCCATTCCTGCCAGAGGCAAAATAGACTGCCCAGGCCTCCTAGCTGACACCACGTTCAGGGGCCTGGTTTGGTCTTATGCTGGTTCCCCAGCTGTCAGACTAGGGTCCATGAGCTCCCACTTGCTCAGGTCAGCTGTTTCTGTGGGTTTCCCCAGTGTGGTCTTCACCCCTTTGCCCATCACTCCTCCCTCTCTACAACTGGATTCCAGGAATTTGGCTCAGTGCTTAGCTGTGAATCTCTGCTTCTGCTTCCATCAGCTACTGGGTGAAGGCTCTGTGGTGGCATTTAAGGTAGTCATCAGTCTCTTTATAGAGGAAGGGCATTTTTTTTTTTAAATGTCAGAGTCAGTTACAATTTGACTGGTAAAATGCCTGCTGTGCAAGATTGAAAATCTGAGTTCAGGGACCCAGCACCCACATAAAAAGCCAAGCTCTGTGGCATGTGTTTGTAATCCTAACACTTCCGAAACAGGAGGATCCATGAGCTAGCTGACAAGCCAGTCTGGCTGAACTGGTGAGTTCCAGGTTCACTGAGAGTCTATACTGTCACACAAGAATCAGTTAAACAAGACCTTGTGAATTAAAGATAATTGGTGTTGAGTTCTGAAAAAGAGATCTCCAGTGCAATAGGGAATTATGGCACAACAGATTGACTTTGGCCTTCTTGGCAGTTATATGATGTTTGCTGTAACTTAGGTGTGTCTTGTAGAAAGATAAAACCACTTAGTCTAACAGTCTGGCTAGCTACAAGTATAGTCTTTCAATATGTATACATAAGCTATATGACCTTTTTGTGCTTTTGCCCTATGCCATGAAGTTATTAGGGTCAGGTCTGCTGCTATGAGACAAGTATGCTTGTGTTTATGAGGAAGTAGAGGACCTGTCAGAAGAGCTGAGAAGCTCCAGAGGGGTTGGGTGGAGGAGAGGCTTAAAAGGAACATGAGGTATAAACAAAATGAAAGACAAAAAACAATCATCTCACTACATGAAGAAAAGGCCTTTGACAAAAATTCAACACCCTTTCATGATAAAAGTCCAGTATATGTCAGGGATACAAGGGACATGACTCAACATAATAAATGCAGCTTTCAGCAAGTCATAGCCAGCATCAAGTTAAATGGACAGAAATTCAAAGTAATTCCAATAAAATCAGGAACAAGACACGGTTGTCCACTCTCTCTATACCTATTCAACACAGTACTTGAAGTCTTAGCTAGAGCAATAAGACAATTGAGGGGGATCAAGGGGATAAAAAAATTGAAAAGGAAGAAGTCAAAGTGTATTTGCAGATGATATGATAGTATACATAAGTGACCCTAAATATTCCACTGGGAGATTCCTATAGCTGATAAACTTTCAGCAAAGTAGCTGGATACCAAATTAAATCACAGAAACCATCAGCCTTCCTATGTACAAATGACAAATGGACTGAAAAAGAAATCAGGGAAACAAAACCTTTCACAAGGGCCTCAAATAATATAAACTATCTTGAGGTAACTCTAACCAAGCAAGTTAAAGTCTTCTAAGATAAAAACTTTGAGTCTTTGAAGAAGTTGAAGAAGATATCAGAAGATGGAAAGATCTCCCATGCTCATTGACTGGTAGAATTAATATAGTAAAAATAGCCATGCTACCAAAATCAATCTATAGATTCAACACAGTCCTCATCAAGATTCCAAAATAATCTTCACAGATTTTGAAAGGATAATTCTCAGCTTCATATGGAAATGCACATGAGAGAGAGCAAGCACGTGCACATGAGCGCGCGCGCTCACACACACACACACACACACACACACACACACACACCAAACAAATAAACAAACCAGGATATAGCAATCCTGAATAATAGAAGAACTATGGGAGGTCTCACCATTTCCAATTTCAAGTTGTACTACATAGCTACAGTAATAACCAGCATGGTATTGGCATAAAAACAGGCATTAATAAATGGAATTGAATTGAAGATACAGGCATGAATCCACACATCCGTGATTTTCTTTTATATAAAGAAACTAGATATATATACTGGAAAAAAAGCATCTTTGACAAATGGTGCTGGTCAAACTGGATGTTGGCATGTAGAACAATCTAGGTAGATTCATACTTAACACCCTGCACAAAACTCAACTCCAGATTGATCAAAGACATCAATGTAAGGAGAGATACAATCCAGCTATATTGCTCATGAACATACATCCTATCAGAGACATTTGCTCAACCATGTTCATTGCCATCCTATTCATAGTAGCCAGAAATTGGAAACAACCTAGATGTCCATTAACAGAAGAACTGATAAAGAAAATGTGGTACATATACACAATGGAGTGTTTACTCACTATTTATAAGATGACATCATGAAATTTGTAAGTGAATTGATGGAAATAGAAAAAAAAATCGTGCTGAGTAAGGTATCCCAAGCACAGAAAGATGAATGTGGTGAATTGAATTGCAGGTGAGCAGCGGTTCCCGTCTGTGTCCCGCTGATGGGCGACTGGATGCCCTCACTTGCCTGAACTCAAAGTGCCCGGCAACCCCAGCCTCATAGAGGACATCGACAAAAAGCACTTGGTCCTACTTCGAGAAGGAAGGACACTTATAGGTTTTCTAAGAAGCATCGATCAGTTTGCTAACTTAGTGCTGCAGCAAACTGTGGAGCACATTCATTTGGGCAAAAAGTACGGTGATATTCCTCGAGGGATTTTTGTGGCCAGAGGAGAAAATGTGGTCCTACTAGGAGAAATAATTTTCTATTCTGGACTTCACGGGAAGTTGTTCAAACCTGCCTGTTTTGCAGGAAAAGGAGAACCACAGTATCTCCAGCAAGTATCTATTGAGGAGATCCTAGAAGAACAGAGAGTAGAGCAGCAGATCAGACTGGAGGCAGAGAAGCTGAAGGTCTAGGCCCTTAAAGATTGAGGCCTCTCCATTCCTCGGGCACATCTGGATGAGTACTGAGTTCCCGCTCTAGAGACCTAGGGCTGTTACCTGCTCGGTCACAAAAGACTGTCAAAAGTGAGAGGTGATCTTATTCTTTCACATATGCCAACATGAAGAAATCATGCGATTTTTTAAAATAAAAGCATTGTGTATTTTGTTTTGCTTTTCTGTTTCAAACAGTCTCGTTATATAGCCCTGGCTAATCTAGAACTCACTATGTAGACCAGGCTGGGTTACAGGTGTGCTCCACCATGCCCAGCTCTATTGTTTAAAGAAACAGTGGCATGACCTGCCCTCACACAAGTCACGTCTGTATATTGCTTTTCTTATCTCAGAGTTTACATTTCTTTTCAAAAGGTATTTCTTCATTTTCTTGTAAATAAAGAATTAATCCCATAATGTCATATTATTTCACAAAATGGAGTTGCCCCTGGTGAAATAACAAAAGGTGTGAGTATCCATATGCTAGGATCCCCTGCCATCATAATTCCTAGTAGTTGGCTGCTTGGGAAGACATTTTCATGCTATCTTGCTGGTTCCCATTCCCATTTTCATGTATATAACTGATCAAGTTTCAAGATTGAGAGGGGAGTTTTCAGGGAACTAGTTAAAGCAGAAGACTTGTTTAAAAAATTTAAACCCTGCTTTACCCACAGCTATTCCAAACTATTTCTCATGTCTTCCTAGTAGGCTTTTTCTTATAGACTTCTGTTACTTTAGCTAAGTTTCCAAGTCCTTTACCCTTAAGTTTTGATCACCTTTTGCTTAGATCATCAGCAAAAAAAAAAAAAAAAAAAAAAAAAAACAAATGGTG